TACAGAGAGAAAGTGTGTGTATATGTCTTTGCATGTACATTAGAGGGAGGGAGAGGGGCGACTTTGCTAATTCTGAACTCTAACCTCCATAAATATTTGTCCTTAGAACATTATTTCTTGTTTCTCCTAAGCTTAGGTCACTGCTGCATCTCTTACATCTGCAACAGCCGTCAGTGCTTCTAGACAGTTCAGTTCTTTTTCCAAGTGCAATCATTTTGGACCATAACAAATTTGATTTACTGCCAACATAGGCCTCACTGGATCGTTCGTTCTCTTATCTCCAGCCATGCTGGGCTGTCATGTTTCCAACATCAACCATTTGTAAAGACAGCCCAAAACAAAGTTTTGGCCATCTGTGGCCACAGTCAGATTAAGCATATATTGTGAAAAATTGATTTTAGAAAGACATAAACAAGTGTCCACTGGTGCTTTAGAGGAATGAAGTACTTTCCTGAAGTGAAATGGAGACTGTAAGAGGTTTGTAATAGAGAGGAGATTTTTTTTTCTATTGTTGATGTGATTTCTTTCTACTATTTGCACCAGAAAAAAAATATGAAAAGGGAAGAAATAAGCTTTTGTTTAAAAAAATATTGATAAATTCATAAAATCACCAGCAAGATAAATGAAATGAAAAGCTGAACCTCCGTTGCAGGATTTTTAAAGGAGTGACCATAAAAGAAGACTTTCTCAGGCACTTAATAATATGCGTATATACTTAAAAGAGAGAAACTTTGCCTCATAAACTGCACTTGCAAAAGTAGGTAGGTGAAATATGAGACTACTTTCTCCAGTAACTAATATTTAAAAGAAAAATTCAATCAGTTATAGACACTTGTGGCTGTTTGCTTCCATCACACAAAGCAGCTGCAGCATGTGTTTAAACTCCTGAGCAAACACAGGAATATTGGTCCAGAATGTAAATATCAGCTGTTGATGGTGAGAGAACTAAGAATTCTGAGGAATAAATTGCTACTGAATTCTTAAACTCATGCTCAGACTTTGAAGGAATGAAATATACTCAAAGTTAAGCAGTTAAGTAGTTTTCTGACCTTGTCTTTGACAAGTGAATGTATGAGAATTCTGTGCTGCTGAAGGGAGATGGATGATTTTTTCCACTGCTAGTTAAGCACGAGACAAGACAGGAAAAACTTCAGAAGGCACACAGTTTATCCATCTTGTTTTGGCTAATTGTTATTTGGATATGTACCAAAGAGAGGGATCGGGAAGCCAAGAAACCCTGGGAGTCAAGAAGTGCAGTGATGGATGGGAAGCCTGGGGCTGATGTTACATTTCCAACAGCTGGAAGCGTTCCCTGCCACCGTGGTGATACAAACCACCTGCTGGTGTGTCTCAATGGTGGGAAGATGGATGAGCCGAAGTGTTCTTGGATGTCTTTGCTTTCCTGGAGTTTTAATTGCTTTTCAAAAGTGAGGGATTTTTTTGTTTGTTTGTTTTATTTTCATTTTATAGTAAATCAGGTCTCCTGCACATTAATTTAGGATGCTTTTCAAGCACCACTTTCATGATTCCTGTGTGAGCAAACACTCTGGAGACATTGTCCTGGCAAACTATCAAGGACATATGGCTGAAACCCCTCTAAAAGCAGCTTCCATGGAAGGGGATTGACATTTCCGGGGGTTATCATATGGCAGGATTTGTCATAGTAACTGCTGGAAAGTCCAGGAAAGTTGTAGGCTGGATTCTTGCACCTTGGATTAAAAGTAAAGACTGATAGAGCTGATTGAGCTTCTTACTCTTAATTTGAAATATCTCAGAAATTACTCTTGCCTTTTTCAGGGTTTTCCCGTAACCAGACTAACAATATAATTTATGTTTGATTGCATTTGTTTCGTGGTTTTTTTTCCAGATGTTCTTACTGAGACTCTCTATAAATTCAAGCATTGTAAATTGAGTAAATACAATGACTGCACATGCAGATGTTCCACAGTTCTCTGCCATCAGAACAGGGTGTCTATCTTGTTTATGAAGTGCCTTGTGTTCAATGTGACCCCTGTGGGTGAGAGCAGCACTGGATAAAACAATTTTTTTTTAAGAGGTAAAATATTCCTGTGAGAAGCAGGGAGTTGGACTCAGATGATCCCTATGGGGCTCTCCCAACTTGAGATGTTCTGTGATTCTGCTACAAAATCCAGCTGGTTACAGAACAGAGCAAGACAAACACAAAATGGAACAGGTGAGAGAACAGGTCTCTAAGATGTATTTTTGAAGTAGAAGGAAGGTAGGGCTTAAGGCATTTTAACATGGAGTATGTCTTACAAGAGAAGGCTTGTGAAGGGGGCTGGAAGCACAGATAATTGATGGTTTGGGTGGAGGAGAAGTAGCTGTATGGGTGTAATTGTGTGGGAGATCTGAGTTGAGGAGGGGTGGTGGTAGAGGCCTAAAGAAAGGAAAATGCTACTGCCAGAATTCCTTTAGTCAATGTTAAGAGCGATATTAATGACCATGTTAAGAGGTTGGAGTGCAGAAGAAAGTAGAGTGGTGAAAATAAAAACTGGCATGTTTTCCATTTGAAGAAGAGAAAGGAAAATATATTAAAAAAATAAAGAAAATTGGCTGATTTTTATGTGAGTGCAGATGGCTTGGGGAATAGGACTTTCCATTTTAGCTCTCTTGTCTTTTAGTTCTAGGCCCCACAGATGCAGTTCCCAGTGACAAGCTTCTAAAGAGCTCTCAAACCTCACAATTCTACTGGTAAAATGATTTTACGTTTTTATACGGCGAGTTTGATAAGGAATTTGAGCTGGCTGCTTTACCCACCCTGCCAGCACTGGGTTGGGGCCATCATGGAGGTCAGAGCTCAGAAATATCAGGATCTTGTCCTATAAAACACGGTGTTGACACTGCAGCTTGGTTACAGGGTGTCCAGCTGGCCAAGGCTGTGCTCATATGGGGTGCACTGGGGTACAGGGACTTCACAGTGTGCGAACTGTGAAGGGCTGCTGTGTGTGCAGGGAATGTAGAATTACAGAAGCATCTGAGTGAAACTATGGGTGTTTGGCCTTCAGAAAAGCTTTTTTGGGTTTTCAGCGTTTTGAGGTTGTCTTTTTTATTCGTTTGTTTTTTTGTTTGTTTGTTTTGGGGTTTTGTTTTGGGGTTTTTTTTTTTGCTTTTGGGCTTGTGTTTTTTTGTTTTATTTTAAAAAAGAACTAATTAGAAGGGTTTTTTACATTTTTACCTCTTCTCTTCATGTACCTGAATCTACCTTAATTTTCCCTTCATCTGTCTTCCAGGAAAGAGGCAAGGATTTGGAACACTATAGTGCAAGGACACAAGCTGCCCTGACACACAGCTTCTGTTGCAGAGGAAGAACAAGAGGAAACGAGGAGGATTTTTGTTGGTGGCTGTGACTGTCCAGAGCTCTCAGGTACAGTGAAAACAGTGGGTTTTCCAGGAGAAGTAGCAGAAAATGTTGGAAGCGGATGGGCGACGGGGAACCTAAGGAACGGGGAGATGCTCACGGAGCAGCGCGGCTGAAATCCCCGTGGCGTGGAGAAGGGCAGAAGCGACACTGGGCTGTGCCCGCGGCGCTGCGAGGGGAGGGTTGGCTGACACGGGGGTGAACCTGCGCTGGGCCGGGCTCTGCCTGCTCCGTTCATCATGATTAAGCCTCTGGAGTGAGGGTGTGGGAAGCGCTGTAATTGTCGCCCACTCTGGTAAAGAATTACAATTTATGGCTCTCGAGCGGTCAGGGCTGGGAAGGGAAGGGAAGTGAACCGGCAACAAAATTCCTTTACGTACATGTTAGCAAAGAGAATGTTACAAACTGCGTAAGCTGGACGGATTGTCTGCCCTGGCGTTGGGCTGTTCCCAAGGGTTGCTGTGTATTGGCCCTCTAAAGTGAAAAGACCAGTGATAGAAGTCCCAATTGCGATCGATGCTCAGGCTGCCTTTGAAGTCAGAGAGCTTCCCAAGGTCCACCTGCTGCTAGACCGGAGATTCAGGGCACAAGGCACAGCTTTGGAAACATATCTCTTCATCCCGTTTTATTGCCAGCCCCAAGCACAAAGTGCATTCGATGGGTCACTACACTTTATAAATTGTATGCACATTTGTTTTATCACCGGTGTTATCGGAAAGCCAGTGCCGGAATTTTCACCTGTTGCCCTTTGCTGACTGTCAGTTTGCCTCTGTTGGATGAGAGGAGAACTAGTTTCTGGTAAATACAGTGAAGTGACACTGTTGCCACGTGTGTTTATTTTAACAGGTCAACCCCTGTTTCGCTATATCGTGATTTAAACAATTTAGTACGATGCAGAGGCCACAGAACTTCTGGTCTAAAGTAACTGTCGGGTTACTTTATTTGTAGCGCCGGAGGAGAAGATGTCCGACCTCGCCCGTGGCACATTCGCTGCATCCCGGGAGCGATGCTCGGGGCAGCGCCGAGCGGAGCCCCGCCGAGGGTCCTGGCCCCAAGACATGCCCTGGCCCCTCGGCGCTCCCCCGGGGCCGCGGGCTCGGCCGTGCCGGGCTCAGGGAGCGGCCCCAGCGCGGCGCGGGGGCGGTCGGGGGCGGGGCGGCGGCGGGGGCAGCCCCGGTGCCGCCGGGGAGCCCGTCCCGGCGTGCGCGGCTCC